GCGTCCAAATCCTCCTCTCCCCAGACGCGACCTGGCTTTGAGATCTGCCCATAGCCTAAACAACCGTGACAGTCTAGACCTGAACTTAACCCTAACGACAGGACTAGCCTTAAATCTTTGCGTAGTTCCAATACTCAGAAGAAGAAGAAGAAGAAGAAGAAGAAGAAGAAGAAGAAGAAGAGGAAGAAGAAGAAGAAGAAGAAGAAGAAGAAGAAGAAGACGAAGAAGAAGAAGAAGAAGAAGAAGAAGAAGAAGAAGCGATCACTAGAACATGAAGCTTATTGACCTGGCGTTTTGGATTCTCACCCGAACTCACCAACAGGGGCAGTCGCAGGTAAGGGCGGTGGAGGCATAGAGACTGCACTACTTATAGTACGTAGCGGCCGTGGCGCAACATGCGTACTATAATTAACAGCCATCGTGATCACCGCTGGGGCTCATAATTAAGGCGATTATGGCACGTCCGTCCGCGTCCGAGTCGTTGATTGTCGTAATTTCATCATCCGTGTTGGATGTTGATGTTGCTCGCCCGCGCCTTCCCCACGTGACTGATACCCTGCCACGGCACGAAGCGTTTGGAGTCGCTTGCCGGACCTGGTGCTGTTGCGGACAGAGCAACTACGCCGGAGGAAATGAAAGATTCTTCTAGACGCGGATGGCTGAGCACGCAGCGGTGGCGAGGAGGAAAGACGCAAGCTCTCAGGTGGCGGCTCAGTTCACGAATCCGGCCATATTTTCAGGTTTCAAGGGGTCGAAATCCCGGTAAGAGGTGACAACCGCGTGGGCCGTGGGCTGCTCGAGTCATGGCACTCGGGCCTGAAATCTATCAACAAGCGCAATGACCTCCCGTTACCATATTCGGTACCGAGACATTCTCTGGGCAGGGTAATCAGACGCGTGGGGAAGGCGCGGGCGAGCAACAATTCTAATGGCAGCGAACCAGACGGCCGAGTCATCATCATGCCAACATCCAATACGGATGATAAACCTACGGCAATTAACGACCCGGACCATGAACCAATCAAAAGTGTCAATCCATCAAACGACTCTACCATGGCGCTTCTGGCATGGGTTACCACTGTCATGCATTTATTGGCTTCGAGCTCTCGCGAGGCTAGTAACATGCCTTGCGCGGTCCCAGTGGCGAACAGATAGACAAAGCGGCGGAGAGCAAGGAAGCGTGGACCACCACAAGCTAACGGCCCGTTTGAGAAGCTGAATATGCATTAAGCGTGCACGCCGGACCAACAGCGGGGACTAGATGTGAGTCCGACAGGCCTTATCGGGAATGCGCATCCACAGTAGATGTCAACGGTGGAGGTGTGCTGGCAGGCCCAATTGAAATTTAGCGTCGTGCCAAATGAGATTCGAGGCACTCTCGCATTTTTGCTGTTATTTAAGACCCTGGTCAGTGTATGCTGTGGACCAGGGAGTGTGGTAGTGCGACTAGGTGCGGGTTTTGACCGTGCCAGCCACCTGCGCCCTCTCCCGCCTCCGGTCTTCTCGGCCGGGGGGTGAGGAAAGAGTGCGGTAGATGCTACGACAGTCTACCATCACTATAAACTAACTCACGCGCAAGTCTCCGCTCCCGCTTTCTCCCTGCTGAGGAGCATCGTCGAAATCGGTGGTGAAACTGCAGGGGTATTACGCATGGCTCCAGTCCTTCACCATCAGTGATACGCGTCAGCCTGACTGTGATCTGCAGAAAAAGCCGATAATCAAATAAAAGTAATGTTGGTGAATCAAACGGCCGAATGCAGGGGTTGAAGAAACATATACTGGGCGGCACCTGTGTCCCTCCAGCGTTCTTCCGGTTGAACTAAATCCTGCCGTCCGTCAAATCCGCACTCCACAACAACTGGCTACTTAAGTAGTATATGTTAATTATGAGGTTTCGACACCCCCAAGAACTAAGGTATATTTTGTGGAGAACATAAACAAAAGTATCCTTTGCTGTACGCCTTTAGTAGCAAATCACGCCTTCTTCAAACTTCTCACTTAAAAAAGTGGATCTTTCAGTTTCAAAGATTTTTGAAGACCATTAAATGCACATTTAAATAGTATTGCGTCTGTCAACTTAGTAATGCTCGTTATGAATTACACAACATAGTCCACATCCACTGCACAATTTTATGAGCCGTACATGGTATCCTTTAATAGCATGGAAAGTTTACGGCTTGTGGAGTGCAAACCCCACACCTAAATGCAACGGTATATTGGGCTCCAAACAATTGGGGGATTGACAAACTGTTTACACCTAAATATACCCCCTTTTCAGTCTTTAATTCGACCAAGACATGATTTACTACCAAATGAGTGCAAAAATGTTATTTTGGATTATTTTTCCCATGAAACACGTTTGAATTTACGGGGCATTAAAAATCGATTGGAAAATCGCGTATTATCCTAGTAGCCACTTTTTTCTCAGTCCAATTTTTCTAGATGGTCAAAAATAAGTGCATCTAAAAGCCGGAATCCTGACGTCTCTAAAATATCTTGGGATTAGGCTGCACGATAAGCAATGCCACAACCTCACCTAAGTCGTCCTACCTAATCGAAAAAGGAATTTCAGAATTTCAGTTAACATTTCATGAGATTAGTCACTGAATGTCAGTCTGCCCCTGGCTCTGACCTTAAATCTCTCCGTAGTTATAACCCTAATCTCCTAAGCCTAGCCACAATCCCTACCCTGGCTGTAAGGCCAATTCTGGCCGAAATCGCTTTCAATAGTCTAACCGAGACCCAGCATTACAGTTTCACCAAAGTTGACTAGAAGTACATGTCTAATAACCGTGTGTACCTAAAGGTGTTGCCAATCTTACTATGATTGGTTGCCTCATTTGTACGTCAGTAAAGTTGCCCAACTCAATCCGTCATCCCTGACTTCTGATTTGGGAACCGTTGTGTTGTCGACTATACCATCCCGACAGAGCTTTGGACTGGTGCTGTGTGTGTTTGAGCATGTGTAGAAGTATTGAGTCTGCAAATATGAAATTTGTAAGAAAAAAAACGAAGTTTGTCAATGTCTCTTAGACACAAGGAATAATTTTACCCATATTTGTCAATACACTTTTGACATTTCGACGGCAAATTTTTCATTCCGGTGGTGTAAAAGTCTGGGGATCGAGAGTCAATAAAGTCTTGGAGGGCTTGTTTTACGGCACTGCCGGAATCAAATTGTTTTCCTAACAAAAGTCATCCAAATTCCGGAAGAAGTGATGTTCAGTGGGGGCAAGATCTGCTGAGTGTGCTGGGCGATGGAGAATTTCTATCTCCAACTCCTGTAGTCTTGCCACTGTAATTTGTGCGGTGTGTGGCCTGGCGTTGACCAGTCTAGGCCGTTGATCTGCAAGTTCTTGGATAATTTGGTCCACCTAGTCGCAGTATACTTCTGCTGTGATCGATGGGCCAGGGTTCATGAAATTATAACGGACAAGACTGACTTATACGGCCCCCCTGGGCAGTACATAGGAATAAGAACCCCCGCTCGAGTAACAAATGTGGAACTGCGCACAATTCTGGGCAAATATTCCCGTGCCCGAACCCCAAAAATAACCCAAACATAAAACTAAACCTTTCCCCCAATCGCAACTCTAACCGTGCCCCAAGCCTTAACTTTGCAGTCAACATTAGCCCTTACCTTAACCGTAAACTCCATCCTGGCTTACCTCGTCGTCAACTTCAAATCTAGCATTAAACCTAATCCTTACCCCTAGGCGAACCTTCAACCTAACTCTAATTTAGCATGAAGTTGGCTCAAAGCCGCCCGTATTCCTGGCGGTTCCTGTTTCCCTGTTCTGTTTAGAGGGCCATATAAGTCGTTAGTGTCATACAAGATCACACCTGCACGAGATCGCCCAAAATTCACCATCAGCCGCTGCCGATTAATATTGCGTTTGGGCTGTGTTGTGGTGGCTTGCCCTCGTTCAACCACTGTACAGAACGTTTATGGTTATCGAATTGGATGTATTTCTTATCAAAAGCTAGAATTCGATTAAAAAAATAAAGAAGTAGACTTCTAAACTTTGTTGCCTTTACATTTCATTTAGACCATGTTGAGGAGGGAGGAGGAGGGGGAGGGGGGAGGAAGAGGAGGGGGGAAGGGGAGGGGGAGCGGTAGGAGGAGGGGGATGAAGGGGAGGGTGGAAGGAGGAGAAGAAGGAGGAGGAGTAGAGGGACGAGAAGAAGAAGAAGAAGAAGAAGAAGAAGAAGAGGAGGAAGGAGGGATGCTGATGATGATGATGATGATGACGACGACGACGACGACGACGATGATGATGATGATGATGATGATGATGATGATGATGATGATGATGATGATGATGATGATGATGATGATGATGATGATGATGATGATGATGATGATGATGATGATGATGATGATGATGATGATGATGATGATGATGATGATGATGATGATGATGATGATGATGATGATGATGTTACTCTCCATTTAGTTTGTGTTGAAACCATGTACCCAACCTTGCACTTTGTGGACTACAGTTGGGTGAGTTAATATTGTTCGCTTGCTAACATTGAACATCAACGAATACGCATGCGCACTTTCAGACGGCTCTGACTGGACGGTGGCTATCAATTCGCCACTATCCACCTTTAATTATGGCCTTTAATTATTTTGAAATAATGCCTTGGAGACCAAGCATCAATTTCAGGCCGTCAGCAAAAGCCATCCCCTCCGAAGGGTGAAACAACTAAGAGTAGTACAATTCCTCCGTTTATTTGAGGTCTGCAAGTTTGACGCCATCGACATTGCCTTGTTTCATTTCCGAGGGAATTACTGAGCGAACTTGGAGTAAATTCCTTAGAACAGACCATTTCAGGCTCAAATATTCATATCAACTTTCAGACCGTGCTTGAAGTTTGCCCATTGATTCCCTCGGAAAGTAAACAAGGCAACGTGAAACAGGAGTTCATATGTGTTGTTAGTACGGTAAATCATTGCACAGTTCTATACTACTGGCTGCCTGTTGGCGGTTTGTGAATATTAAGTGGTTATTCCGCAGTAGCTGATGGATTTCAGCTCAAATATTCATATCAAAATTTGGAGCGTGCATGAAAAGGCCAGTTTCGAAAGATTTACTCCAAGTTCGCGCATTAATTTCCTCGGAAAGGCAAGTTGAAACTGGAGTTCATATATCAGAAAACACATGGGGGAAGCTGGGGGACCCACTAATAAGCCGAACTCCCAAAAGCTGTGTCAGGCAGCGGCACAAGCTCGGCGAAGCGCGCGTGTCTGGGTTTTTATCTAGTACCCGTGTTGTCAGTATGCTAAATAATTACATAACTGTATACTACTGGTTGCTTGTTGGCCGTTTGTGAATATTAAGTGGATATTCCGCAGCAGATGACGGACTTCAGCTCAAATATTTATATCGATCCCACAGACGGCACCAGTGGTCAACGCATCAGGCAGAAGGCGTCATATCTTGAGAGTCATGTGCATGAGCCCCCAGCCAGTACTCGAAAGGTCAGACCTCAAATAAACCTCTTCCAGTGAACGTCTCTTCTTCTTTTCACATGCCGTCTGCAAGTCGCACTTTCACTAACTGGTTTTGGCCACGCGCAGAATGGTGAATAACGGCTAAGGGGGTGAGTAACGTGCGTAGTCATTGGTGGTGGTGGTGGTGGTGGTGGTGGTGGTGGTGGTGGTGGTGGTGGTGGTGGTGACGACGACGACGACGACGACGACGACGACGACGACGACGACGACGACGACGACGACGACGACGACGACTGACGTGACCGTAGGCCTTCACAGTAGTCATTGAGGTCGACATGACGACTCATACGGCTGCCGCCAGACTGATAGGTTTTAAGAAACTCTCGCTAGTTCTTTATGGAGACAGCACCGATCATTTCAGTGACAGCGAAGTCGACGCGGTGGCAGCTCTCACGCAGCAAGTACATAAACGAAGTAGAAATGGGCATCGCCTCGGCGGAGAATGGCGAGCAGACTGATGTGTCAGCATCTCTGGTGACGTAAAGGCACAATTAACATGCACAAGGTGATTCAACAACAGTCGCCGGGGTGAAGTGATTCGGCGAAATCTTCCTGTCCAAGGGTAGACTGCAAGCGTCTGAAACGTACTTCACAAGCGTAACTTCTGCGACGGCCGTACAGACGGTCTACTGCCCTGATGGTCTGTAGTAGTGGTAGTAGTAGTAGTAGTAGTAGTAGTAGTAGTAGTAGTAGTAGTAGTAGTAGTAGTAGTAGTAGTAGCATACTCATACCGCTAATGCGGATGACTGTCATTACATTTTACTGAAATCATCTACAACTGAATGTTCTCAAGTTTTTGCTCTACATTTTCATGGAAATATTCTGTTGAATGTGTATATTACTGACAACATTTCAGTACCATGTTTATTTATAGTAAGATATTGTATGTACCGTTTACAATAGGGTTTTCAAAGGCATTGCCTATTACTCTTAAAATATACTGGCCTATACTGACCTAGTGGTAGCAGAAGTAGTAGTAGTAGTAGTAGTAGTAGTAGTAGTAGTAGTAGTAGCAGTAGTAGCTCACTGTGGTCACGATTCCTGGCTCAGACTAAACTGATCGGAGCTGCGCATCTGGTTTC